CTGGTTGCCCCTCACTGCCCCCGGCCTGGTCGCCCCACGCAGCCTGCTGCTCAGTCGTTTGGTCGTCCCTCACTAACCCCGTGCCATCCTTGTCGCCCCACTCAGCCTGTTTGGTCATCCATTCAGTTGTTTTGGATGTGACAGCCCCTGGCTCTTTATATATATATATATATAGATACCCATGGTCCCTTCTTGCTCTAAAATAATTTGATTTTAAGTCAACTAAAATTATCTCAGCTTCTGTGAGTTTCTGTAGATGCAGACTGAATGAGTCACTTTTCCCCCTTTAAACTAACACATTACCGTTGGCCTTCAGTAAAATATCATACTTTTGCTTTTGAAATGCCACTCCCAGTCAATTAATCTCGAAGGGATTAGCAATATGACAATGTGTGTGAGCCAACTGTTGAGGCTTTATTTCTAAATTATATGAAGCCTGAACTTTCTAATTCCGTTTGTTGACTCCATTTATTTAATCATTTAAATGGCAAAACAAATCATGGTACTACAGAATTCTAATGCATAGGACATACTAACGAGTATTCCAGAGAGCTGATGGAGAGTTTTAACTCACCCCATTTTTTATGGGGTGAACTTATCATTTAAATACTTTATTTACCAAATCTATAATTTTACAGCAAAATTCCTGAAACATCCCATATGTAAATATGTAAAAAAAACCACCCAATGAAATGCCAACCTCCACCTTTCCGTCTTTCTCCCATTTACTTACATTCCTCCCTGCTGTAATGTGGCTGCTGGGTCTGGACACTAGCCTCTGGATTAGAGATGGTCTCTTCCTTCTTCTGTGTCTGGTTGTGACTAGGAGGCCACAATACACTATTGTGGCACAAAGTGGCACCTGACCCTTGTAACATAGCAAGCCCGAAGTCTGAGTTTTCCCTCTGCTGCAATATTCTTTGTGTACAGTCTGAGAGGCCACCCGTACTTCCATCTAGCCATTTTGCAGAATACTTTGGTACTTGGGAGTCAAACTGTGGGAGTAGCTTTTTATCCGGCTTATGCCTGAAATTAAACAGGTGATGCTGGGGAGGTTTAGAACATTATGAATCCGAATCCACATCCTTATTTTGTGCGTACTGTACAATCCAGTTTATCTTCTTACTCAAAATGGCTTTAACGTCTTCATAATAAGTATTTTTTGAAAGCTTAGATCGAGGACAATCCTGGTTTGCAATCAAATGGTATTTTTCAAAGCAGTCTTTATGGCCCCTTAATGATGTGGTGTGCAAGAGATTAGATTTTGGTATTCCTATAAAAAAACAAGATGAGAAAATTTCATTTTCTAAATTGCATTACAAATCTTAGTGAACCATGGAGTTACTGATAGTTTGTAAATGAGGGGGAAAATTCTAAAGAAGATTGGTATTAATAATACAAAATATGCTCTAATAATTCTCCTTCAATTTAACTATATATTTAGTGATGTTAAATTCCTATGAATAGCAAAGCCTTTTTAAGAACTTAAAAGATTCAATTTTAACATTAGTCTAGGTATGTTATTGTATACAATATAAAAAATAATAATAATGAATCAGCAATTTACATTTACAGACTCTTGGCCTTTACATTACAGGTAGCTCTACGGTATTCTGCTACTCGATTCTAATCCTTACAGCTCAGGATACATAGCAGTAGATAGAAAGAACTTGAAACCCGCCTACTTTTTTATCTTCAGAAGATTTATTAAAGAGCTTCCTCACGCTCTATAAACTCTGTTAGGTGTTGTTGCCAAAAGATGACTGGCCAGTCCCCGCCCAAACAGTAAATGGTCTCATTCTTATTCCATTGCCACAGCTCTAATCCATGTAGCAATGATTTAGTTGGATCTAAACAGTAAATTACAAAAGTCTCCTTTAAGTCAATATAAAAAAAAATTCTTTAGCATATAAAAAGGGTTCTAGGTTCTAAACTAGGCTACACAAAGTAATTTTGCTGTTAAACTTTAAAAATTTATCTAGAAACTTCAGAAATTGTATTAAAAATTATATGAAACAATACATTTCCCAATGTACCCCAGAGCTTTAACAACAAACAGGTCAATGTAACAGATGTGTACTATTAAAAAAATGATGTGGGCTTTTAAAAGTTAAGGCTTTTCTTATTCCAGATTGCTTCTTAGTAATTAATGTAATATAACTTTCTTTCTCCATAAATAATTTTTCTTTTAACTTTTGCTTAAATCCCCAAATGAATGCTAGGAACCCAGCTACCTACATAATAATGTGCACATAAGTAATCTGTTGAGATGAACAGCAAATCAGAGAACCACCGTATTCAATTTACTGTGAAAGTATATATATGTGACTAATATTTCAGATTCTTTCAGACATTCAGGAGAAAAATCCCCTAAAAATGACATGAAGAAAAAAAGTGTCATGGCAAGAGTTCTGATACAGCGTACATTTCCACTTAGATGTCCTGTGAGCTTCTCAAACTCATCCTGTTTAATAAACTCCTCTTCCTTCATTCTCACTACCCAATCCCCAAACCCAGATCCTCTACCTGAGCCTGGCATCACCAGCCACTTAAGGAAGAAACCTGGCATCCTCCGTGGCAGCTCCTCACCTCTCCCCCAACTTTCTGAGGTGGTTTGCTGCCCATCTTAATAGATTTTGCCCCATAACATCTAGTAATACAACAATTCAAATCCTGCTTCACTCCATTACCACTCCCATTACACTGTCTGGATCATCTCATGTCTAGTTCTCATGCCTCTAAGAAACCTTTTCTGACCAATACATCTACCAGTTTAATACTGGATTCTCCAATTGCCTCTCCACCTGCCGTTAGCTCCTGCAGTAAGTTCTGTGAGAAAGGGTCCCTATCTGTTTTACATGCATCCTCAATGTCACAGTGCCTGGCACACAGTGAGTACTCCAGAAAAAGTAGTTAAATGAATGAAGGAAAATTAAAATCATATAAAAAAACAAACAACCCAAAACTTATTACCCAGTATCATTCAAGGTCTACTGAAATGAGAGTTTCTGCCCATCCTAGCCAGGGAACCAGGAGGGCAGTGTTGCCAGGCTGCTCGAGGTTGACAGAGGCATCTTCCAGGGAACTTGCTCCTACAGTTAGTCTGATGGGCCATTAGCCTGAAGAACCGATGAGTGGCACTGATACAGAGATGCCATTGCTGTGGCACCAGTCAGCCTGCCAAGCAAAATCAGGAACTTCTACTCAATTACGTACTTCAACAGAAATTTACATATACTGAGGATTTTAAAAGGTTGCTTTATGTAAACCACAGCTTGTTCATCCAGATCTGTACCTCTTCTTTTAGCTCACTAAAAATTTAAAACTTGACTGAGTTTTGAAGTTCATTTTGAAAATATCTGCTATATAAACATAGCTTAAAACATGCCAGGCAGTAGCAAAGGACACAAAATGTTAAAAAAATATAATGCATTGACTACTTCAGATACCTGAACAAATTATTTTTAATCTAGAAAATGGAAGTAGGCCACTTAATTTGTATCCAATATACATGCCATTTTATAAACTCTAGAAGTTATTTTGTTATTTTTCCATCTCATCAGTTCGAATTAATATAAGAGGAAAAACAATTGCTTTTTTCAGAGATTCTAGAGGTTCCTAACTGACTCTACAATTTCAGTTGCATTTACAAATATAAACAGCTCTGAGCACTAATGTTTCCTCAGCAGCTTTTGATAGGGAACAAATCTAAATGCGATGAAATGAGTTGATAATTTTGAGGAGCTGAGTTATAAGGAACGTCTAAACCAGTTCAACAAAAACTGCACTACAACTTGCTTACTAATAAAAATTTTGAAGGCCAATGTAACTGACATCCTAACTATTATGATAACTTCTTTAAAAAATACTTCAATGGTGTCCATGTGACTTTTTTTTTGTCATGAGGTCATTACTTTTAGCGAGCCAAGACCTTAATTGGCAATCATAATTGCTAATTTTTTAAAAGTACTAGTTTTAGATAGAGGCCTTTAGAAATTTACATAGGCAGTTTATTTCCATATGAACAGTGGCGTTTTTAAAGTTAATCTGTCTCTATTGAATAGTTCTCTTTCTTATTGTTTCCCATTTTCATCTGATTTTGTTACACTACTCTCACATCCTTTGAGAACCCTCCCACTAACCCATCTGGCATGCTAACACCATTTCTATTCTTTAAGTTCCCCTCAAAGATCAATTCACTTTAAGAAAACTTGGTTAAAAATACAACCTTCCAAAACTCAATCAGGAAGAATCTAAGAATCTCAATAGGCCAATAACTATGGAAGAAATTGAAGCAGTCATCAAAAAGCTTCCAGCAAACAAAAGCTTGGGGCCAGACGGCTTCACAGGGGAGTTTTACCAAACATTCAAGGAAGAACTAAAACCTATCCTCCT